AGGAAAGAGGCACGCATACGTACGCGCCTAGAAGGAAAGGGAGGGAAAAGGAGATCGCGTTCACGCCCGGCGGAGGCGATCATGCCGGGCGCCATGATCGCGCGGGCAGCCCGTGGTCACGGGCTATAACGCGGCCGAGATCGGTATCTCGCCGCGATCGACTCGCTGATTTATAAGACGCCGGCGGAGAGATCGGTATCTGCCGCTCGTTCCCGCGTGTCCCGATGCGTCCAATTTATGTAGCACGCGACATCCTCGCCGGCCGAGTCGAAGACAATCGGCCTCTCGGCCGCGCCATCGCTTACCGTTTAACATCGAATACAAGGGCCACGATTTTCTGATCCTCCCCCGCGCCCTCCCGCTCGCCCCTAACTTTCGCTAATAGGGAGCACTCGCTGCCATCGCACCAACCCCGGCGAAAACTGTTCGAACACCTTTTCGAACGTGATGACTGCTTTTAAAGCGGGCCACACGACGGCGAATTTTCTTTAACCCGTTAGCTGTGGCGCCTCCGTTTCAGAGCGCGCACCTATATGTGTCGCGAAAATCGAGCGATGACGAGTATACTCGTCGAACACAATGTAAATGTCGCTGTTAAAATATTGGATAAAAAAGGCGGTTTTATTTGATAAAATTAACAATTTTATTACTAATATTTGCTTATTCGCTTGACGTTAACATATACTATATACATAAGAAACGAAAAACCCAGGAATAATCAAATACTTATAAAAGTTAAAAATTCAAATTGTTGTTGTAGAGAGAGAGAGAGAGAGAGAGAGTGGTATTTAGCAAAGCAAGGAACAATATATAATGGCACTTTGCACGTCGAACACCAATACCGTGATTCTTTTCTAATTTTATTTTGATAATAATTTAAACAACTTCGTGCAGGATTGGCCTCAAAATATTCTGAACATCTTGAAATTTCAGAATATGTTTTTGCTTTCCTTAAAATTACAATTTACATAGCCAACGGTCACTACCTCTTACGCACGACGCGTATACTCGTTGTGTCACAAAATATTGCCATTTCTCCATGACGAGTATAGTCGTCAACCACGGCTAACTGGTTAAATGTTGAAGTTCACTGTACAATGCTCCTCGTGAAATACTTGATTTTGAATCTTGACTTTGCCCAGTGACAGTAAATTCTCCCAAATTGTTCCTCGGCTTGGAAACAAAGATGGACAAGTCGGGAAGAGGTTGCCGGTTACAGAGGAAAGGCGGAAATAAGATTTATTCGAGGCCGTATGAACAGTGCTGTCTGCTTAAATATAATCAAGGAACAGATTGAGACTTGGTTTTAAAATGACCAACAAGGTCTCCTGACCAATTGAAAATGTTTCGAGAAATCTCAGCCAAATATTATATAAAGGTATAATACAGTATCTGAAAAGTATATGAAGGATCTTCTGTATAGATGTTGACCAAGAAAAATGATTGAAGTCGTACAGTGTAAAGAACAGTCCACACATTACTAAAACTTAAACTATGTAATTTTAGATGCTTGGGAAAGCTTTTATCAAAAGTGAAAATGATTTAAGTTGTACAGCGTAAAGGACAGTCCACACATTACTAAAACTTAAACAAACTACGTAATTTTATTTCACTTTAATGCTTTTGTTATTTCATATTTCAAACGCCTCATCAGTTTGTCCACACAAAATTCCGACCTTTTTGTATAAATAACAAATGGATCGAACGATTTATTTATTTTCTTTATATATGTATTACGTCAGAACTGTTACCTCATTTTGTTGTGTGTTCATTTTCCGCGTATTTGCACGAAATTTATATCCAAAGATCTCTAGTTGCCTCATAATTTTGTCCATTAGTGTACATAAAAGAATGATATAATTTGTCTTTCTCTTGAACCTCCCCTTTATTGAATTCTTAAAAGAGCTGTATTTCAGATATGATATTAAAAGGTCTACAAGTATATAACAGAAGTCTCTAAAAGTGCTATAAAAATTTCCAATTTCATTTCCATTTCACGGATACATTTAACAATTCGAAAATGGGAGGTGCGACGAGAGATTGGCTTTATTCGATGTGGACGAGCGAAATGAATAAATTAGTTTGCTTCTATTTCCAGTAGGACGAGAAAGGAGCTGCCACCGAATGGCCTGGAATGGGGTGGATGCAGCGCGGACGTCACCTACGGGATGAGGTAAGGATAATTAAGCCCGATTCTCTCTCTCGTAATGAATACGTCGGTGCTACGCGTGCGCGCGCGCGCGGATCCATTTCGCACGTGTCGCGTGCGTGTAAAACCTGCATGAAGCGCACAGGAAATTCCTCGAATGCGTCGGAAAAGAATTTTTCAACAAGAATTTCTTAAAGATGATATTTGAAATTTTTATACACGAATCTCTTAACGATTGATACTTTCGACTTTCACGTGTAATTTATCGCAATAAAACGTAGACTTTCACCGGTATGAATTTTGCTGCAATTTTCATGTATCATAATCTGTGTCAAAATCCGCCGTCGTATTCTATGCAATTTATTTGCATTCAGACTGCAGCTGCTCGCTGAAATCCGTGCGTATGTTACGTTCCTACGGTATATCTACCTCTTCTCAAAAGCATATCGTTAAGTGTGTTTGACGACTATATCCGTCATGGAGATGTGGCAGAATTTTGTGTCATGACGATTATATCGGTTATTCGTAAAATTTGGTTACAATTTGATATTTAAATTGTAATTCTGGCGAAAACTAAATTGTATTCGTAAATTTCAATATGTTTAAAATGTTTAGAGGTCAAGACGAAATGAAACAAACAAATGAAAATTATAAATAATTTGAGTTGGATTCATAACTTCCTGAGAGCTAACTCGTCGCGACACGAGAGCTTATCGCGACACACACTGGTGGGCGCTTTGCAAAGAGATCGCCACAGTTAACTGGTTAAGGAAGAAGTACAATAAACTTTCCCCCAACTGCCAATTTAGTTTTGTAAACAAAGATGGCTATTTTGGTAAGAGAAGATACAATTATTCGAGCCTCGCGGCTCGTTTTTATAGTTGTTGACAACCGACGACTATAGAAACAAGCCGCGAGGCTCGAACGTTCGTATCTCGTCTTCCAAAATTGTCCATATTTGTTTACAAGCTGAAGAACAATTGGGAAGAATTTACTGTATAGCGAACCTTTCAGAAGAAACTACCGTTCGCTTTCGTCCCGTAGTCTGCTTATAGCATTCCCTGCGCTTTTGCGTGCGGGCAAAGGTCCGCTTCACGGACAAAGGTCCGCTTTCACCGTTTCCGCGCTGCCTCCATGACAACCATGAAGGTGCCTGTTTTCCGAAAATAGCAGCTGGAAATAATTTCTTTCGGAGGGCAATAAATGAATGGATAATGACACGTACCTAGAGGCCCAGGATGGGAAATCCCCATCCGTCCTTGGCAATAGAAGTAATTTTGCTTAATTGCTCAAGTACACGGGTCGCATAACGAGATATTTGCCCGTTTTCGCAGGTCAAAATTATTTTTCTCACTCGACGTGTCTAGTCTAGAATGTTCCCACTAACTTGTTTATATTTTTACAACCTGGAAAAATAGTTATAAGTAGACTGCGGAACTTTATGCAAAATCAAAATCTTGCAGGACGATTGCGAGAAATAGAAATTATTATATAAAGATAAATTGTTTATTTAGATGATTTTATTAAACTGAAATTGGTATAAATATATTATTCGATTCTTATTATGTCTTCGCAATTTTATATTTGAACTACACACTTTTGCCATGAACGCATGAAATCCGTAGTCCAGTTATAAGCAAATAAAATAAATTAAATTATGAATAGAATATTAAAAATATTATTTCCATTATTTAATGGACTCGAAACGTAGCTATTTATTTATTTAAGGTATTTTAACGTATCGGGGATAATTTTAAAAACGTTACAAAACAAATATTATTATTTGCATTGTCTGGAGGCTATTGTTGTTCGTATACTCCAATATTGCAGACAACAAAAATTGTTCATCTTACAGAGGATCTGAAAAATCGTATTTTGAACAGCTTTTCGGACCTAATGCTACACTGTGCGCCGGTTGCGCAGGGTCCGCGGTGCGTGGCTTTGATTTATCGGGCAGCAGGTCGTTTTTCCGAGAGCCGACGCGACGCGACGGTCGATTGTAAGCGCGAGGACGCGGCGGACGGTTAGCCGAGCACATCGGTCAAAAGGTTGATGAATTTATGCCGAGTGTTTATGTCAGGAGACGGCAGCGCGTACATCTATTTAGTGTCGGAAGACGGTAACCGGGAAATTTATCGTTTCGTCGGCGTGTACACGCCGCGGCCGGCCTCCCAATGGGCGGAGGAAGGAGAGGTGGCCTTTCCATAAATTCATTTCAGCTGTAAATCCTGAACCAGCCGAATAAGCGTCGCCGCCATATTAAGGTGCGACTCGCCGTAATTTCGAAGAGCAGACCTCAATCTGTTTGCACTGTCCATCGTACCGAAACTGCGATCTCGTTCAACGTTTCCTATACATTCTTCAATTCTGCCCCGAGTCTTGCGAATCACCCAAATACGACCTACTACAATGGGACTTTTTGCTTTAGAAAATGAAATTCAATTATCAAGCACAAGAAGCGACTCAAAATTATAAACGCAAGCGGTACATTTTCTTTCTTCGATGACTGACAAACGAAACTGCATTTTCCTACCTTTCCTACGTCATCGTTAACAAAATTCTTGTTCTGTCAATTTCGACAACGTTTCAGTCGTTGACGGTATACCTGACGAAGATTCTGTATACCTGTAAACTGACCCCGGTGCATAGGGAAGCAGTAATTGCCGGGGACAAACGGACTGCCGAGAAATCCGCCCAGGTATTTACACCCTTGCCGCTGTTAGCCGGAAGGAAATTACTGAATTTCGCACGGAAAAACGTGACGTAGTAGGACTGTACCGAGCGCACTAAACGAGGACAGTAAAGGTCACGTGATCGGTAAGGGTTCCGTGGACTATATAAGATTCGATTTTCGAAAAGACCATGTATTTTTCGTTTGGAGACGGAGCAGTGTACTTCGACTAGATATTCGATTGTTTGTTTCACACTTGTTCGGTACTTTCGGTAAAAATTTCGTCTTGTTGTTTTTGAAAAGTGATACATCCTTAGTCGTTTTTACAATTAGTGATCGACAGCTTCTCTTGTTTTAAAAAGGTGTGATACAGTTTATAACGTAAGTGACATTTTGAAGTTCGGAAACAGATTGAAATGAGAAATGTGGCAAATTCAAACGTTCTGCGAAACTGATATTAAGATCGACAGGTTTAAACTTATTTCAAATTTGGATTGTTTTGTTGCAGATTTGTCGAGCCGAGTGCGAAAAATTAAAATGAACGTAAAAGATCATAACTCTGTGCACTTAGAACAAGAGGTGGAATTTCCGACAGTGAGGGGACTGCCAATCCATGTGTTACTGGAAGCCATGTGCCCCTGTCGAAGGTCGCTACTTGAATTCCTAATGAATCGAGACTCATTATTGGCGGAAATCGAAAAAAGCAAGAAATTAATTCGAAAATATAGTTCATTTCGACATCACCGGCCGGAGCGAGTCCTGATGCGAGCAAGATATTTGCAATTATTACGCACGTTCAGAGATCGAGATCGAGATCAAGATCGATGTCGAAACGTGTGCGCGGAACGGTAAGGATTCCGGGTACTATATGTATAAGATTTCGGTTTTCTTAAAGACCATGTATTTTTCGTTTGGACACGGAGCAGTGTACTTCGACTAGATATTAGATTGTTTGTTTCACACTTGTTGGATACTTCGTAAAAATTTCGTCTTGTTATTTTTGAAAAGTGATACATCCTTAGTCGTTTTTACAATTAGTGATCGACAACTTCTCTTGTTTGAAAAAGGTGTGATACAGTTTATAACGTAATTGACATTTTGAAGTTTGGAAATAGATTGAAATGAGAAATGTGGCAAATTCAAACGTTCTACGAATCTGATATTAAGATCGGCAGGTTTAAACTTATTTCAAATTTACATTGTTTTGTTGCAGATGTCGTCTGACTGACGATGAAGAGACAGAGAGTCTGACTGACGATGAAGAGACAGAGAGTCTGACTGACGATGAAGAGACAGAGAGTCTGACTGACGATGATGGAATAGGCAGACTGTCTGACTATGAGGAGACAGATAGTCTGACTGACAATGATGACGTGCCAATCAGACTGACTGACGATGAGGAGACAATCAGTGTCATTGACGAAGACGAGATTCACGAAATCTGACGTGACGGATTACACAGGTCCAACAGAAATCATCGTCTAATCGTGTACTCCGACGACGAAGAAGTCTGTCATCGGTAAACAAATTCAGCAATTGTATATAAACTGTGTGTGTGTGTGTGTATATAAATAATTATATATAAGTTATATTTTTTTCAATATTATTGTTATAGTAATTTTCCTTCACTAATGTATATTATTTTTCACTATGTATAAATATATAAAATGTTTCTCACATATTTCTTTTCTTTATAATTATATATTTTCTTAACTGATCGTATAACAAAATTGTTATGCATGAGAAGCTCATGATGTAGTACTTTCTAAGCATTTGTATACCGTCCCTAAATTGATATGTGTATCGTATGTATATTATATGTAACGCATAATAAAATTGTTATGCATGAGAAGCTCATGATACAGTATTTTCTAAGCATTTGTATACCGTCTGTAAGTTGATAATATATTGTAAAAATGTATCACAAACACGCAGAGTTTCTTAACATTAAACGTACCGAAATTTAATATGTGTATACCTATTCGTACCGCGACCTGTCGAATGACCGATTTTTATATAAGGACCAGATTTTTCCTGATTGAATGAAGAAATATCGATTTTGGTAAGGAAATATTGAACGAAGTAACTTTAAGGTTATAATAATTAAACAAAAATCTGCATGTTGCTTTCGTTGGATATCATTGTTCGTCCACAGCAATTTTTTCCTCCCGTTTATAACAGTTTTGGCTGTTCTCAACGAATTTATTTCACACCTGAGATATCAAGGCGAATTTATCTGTTTTCAAAAGAATAACTCTGAGAATTCCTATAAAACAATGTTTGCTCATCGTTTCGGAGAAAAACTTAGAGCCCCATGTCCTATTCTACAAAAGAGGAACTTTCAAACCGTTTGCTTCATATCCAACTCGTGGACATAAAATTGCAACAAATGCATCTAATTTTGCTAGAGACAGACACCATTCAGTTTCTAGAACGCGATTATTATTACTCGAAATATTTCTTGTTAGATGACTTAGGTAAATAACGTGTCTATCAGATTTAACAAATAAAAACATGAATAAATGATNATATTTCTTTTCTTTATAATTATATATTTTCTTAACTGATCGTATAACAAAATTGTTATGCATGAGAAGCTCATGATGTAGTACTTTCTAAGCATTTGTATACCGTCCCTAAATTGATATGTGTATCGTATGTATATTATATGTAACGCATAATAAAATTGTTATGCATGAGAAGCTCATGATACAGTACTTTCCAAGCTTTTGTATACCGTCTCTAAGTTGATAATATATTGTAAAAATGTATCACAAACGCGCAGAGTTTCTTAACATTAAACGTACCGAAATTTAATATGTGTATACCTATTCGTACCGCGACCTGTCGAATGACCGATTTTTATATAAGGACCAGATTTTTCCTGATTGAATGAAGAAATATCGATTTTGGTAAGGAAATATTGAACGAAGTAACTTTAAGGTTATAATAATTAAACAAAAATCTGCATGTTGCTTTCGTTGGATATCATTGTTCGTCCACAGCAATTTTTTCCTCCCGTTTATAACAGTTTTGGCTGTTCTCAACAAATTTATTTCACACCTGAGATATCAAGGCGAATTTATCTGTTTTCAAAAGAATAACTCTGAGAATTCCTATAAAACAATGTTTGCTCATCGTTTCGGAGAAAAACTTAGAGCCCCATGTCCTATTCTACAAAAGAGGAACTTTCAAACCGTTTGCTTCATATCCAACTCGTGGACATAAAATTGCAACAAATGCATCTAATTTTGCTAGAGACAGACACCATTCAGTTTCTAGAACGCGATTATTATTACTCGAAATATTTCTTGTTAGATGACTTAGGTAAATAACGTGTCTATCAGATTTAACAAATAAAAACATGAATAAATGATTAAAATTAATTGTATATATTTAGTAAAAATATAGCCATGTGAAGTCAAGTGTGAAAAAGCAATAATATTTTATGAGAATTTTCTCATCAAAAGTTTACAACCGGTCACGGTACGTTTAGTGTTATATATTATTTCATATAGGAATCGAATCCTGTGTTGTCTTTGTTCCCTTAAGCATTGAAAAGAATTACAGTAAATTCTCTCTAATTGACGCTCAGCTTGGAAACAAAAATGCACAATTTGGGAAGAGGAAGTACGATTATTCGAGTATGATTGTTAATTACAATCGGTAACTATAAGAACCATCGCGAAAGCTCGAATAATCGTATCTCCTCTCCCAAATTTTCCATTTCTCTGTACAAACCGAGCGTCGATTAGGGAGAATTTACTGTATTGTTTCCGAGCCTCCTGCTTTTTTTTCGCAATGTGATCACCGTCAATTTTGGCTAGATATTCGGCAGTCATTTTTAACCCTTTGCACTCGAAGCCATTTTAACCGTCAAATCTAAATTAATTTTTTTGACTTATGGTATTTCCATCTTATGTGACAAAGTGCATTTTGTGCACATGAAATCGAGTCTTGTGACTACTTTTAACAATTTTTTACATCTAAACTTTGATAATATAAAAATGATCTTGGAAAGTGATACAACGATCTCAGTGGTGCCTCAGAGTCGCCACTCGAGTGCAAAGGGTTAAATACTTCAACGATTCTTCCTCCTGATTTAATTTTAGAAAACTTTTCCCAGCATTGGTAAATTGTGACTGTTGAAGTTAGGATCAACTACCTCTGCATTTTGGAAGTATTTTAAAGCTTCTTCGAACGATGAAGTCGGTGGTTCCCCAAATATTACAGATGCAACTTTTCTTTGGTACCATGCCAGATCAGAAACTTGGTAGCACCAAGTATCTAACATGTACATGGTTGTAGCGTCAGTTGGATTAAGTTCTACAGCTCNGGACAATATATGAATTTCCAGTTCATCCAGATTTGTTAATGGCGCAGATTCAAAGGTGGAACCAATTATTTCCCAACAGTCCAATATATATCCGGCCACGGCAAATCCGAGAAAAATATACGGGATTACTCCGTCCGTACATAGGTCAAAGAANAGTTCCCTTATTTGTACTTTCATTCCTTCGTAAGAGCATTTACTATTAAGGATAACAGACATCCATTTATGTATAGCCCAATGCTCCTCTTTTATCGACAGCGCATTATTTATTAAATGATATGCTTCATAAATCATTTTCTTCCCTTGTATATCGGTAGCTGTCTTCGACATTTTATATAATGCTCTAGACAATTGTCACAATATTTCAACATCTTCACTATCCTATAAAACTATCTTATGTATGGATGCACACAAATTTAACATAAATATACTTACCCTGTAATTTGTTAAAAGATCATATATTCCCTTATAATTTTCTTGATCGAATAATGCATCAGCTTTTCCTAGTAAAACTTCTTTCGTAGTAACTAATTCATTTTCACCTTTCTTTTTATTCAGAGCCCATATCGCCATAATAGTGAACGATGACGCAGTATGTAATTTTGTTGAAAATGCTCGACGACTGGTTTGCTAGTGACAAAAATTATTGAAATAATTTTTAAAACTTACAATAAAAAATGATTAATTGCATTTAATGACTGGGAACCTTTTGTGAGAACAAAGTACTTCTATGGATGAGTGACCTTTGTAGTATATATTCGTATTTTTTGTGAACCGTAATATTTTCTACATCCACATATTAAGTTATGATATGTCTAAAAAAAAGAGAATATATGGCAATATATACTGTATTTTAATTTGAATAACAGATTATTGTTAAATTGTTGGCATTTATTTTGACACAAACTCAGCGTCACACAGCTGCCACCATGACTATAAGACTTTAAACTTTAATTAACTCAGAATTAATGATACAAGATTGAAAAATTTATAGTGTAAACACTGCAAATATTAAACTAAGAAGTTGATATTATAAATTGAAGTATAGAGTTAAATATTATTAAGTGATTATAAGGTTGAATCGACGGTTAAAGCGTCGACATAATTAATGATAAACGATAAGGAACTCTGTAAAAATGCTCGTCCGCGTTACGGAATCCTCCGAATAGGATAATAAAAC